ACCATGTCTGTCTGGGATTAAGTTATAATCAGGTTTTTTTAAAATCTGTGCCATGCACAGCCTCTGGTGCTTTCCTCTGGTTCAGTTTGATGGTGGTTCCTGGGAAGGAGAGGAAACATATTGCTTCCATGGATGATATGTGTGCTGCAGTATAAGAGTTCCCTCATGGCTATAATAGAGCATTTCATCCACTGATGGAATATTTTCTCCAACAAAACAATTACAAATAAATGATGACAATTTTGAATAACAGAAATGCCCTTAAGACAATACTGGTCTTCATTTGTCTTTACTTCAGACCTGAAGAACTGGACTTCTCAGTTGCATAGTCTGTCACACCTTGTTCATATTGCACAATCTTGAAATGGGAGAGACTGAGAGAGGAAAATTTCTTATTTTAAATTTGAGCTGATATTGTATTGTTTCGCATTCAAAAATCTCTAGGAAGAAACATTAAATTCATAGTAGCTCAACCATTCTGGCCCTTGGTGCAAGAAATAGGAATTTTGGAAAAGACAATTTGAATCACATACTGATGAATTATGCATACATCTATGTCCATTGAGATACGCAAAATACATGAGTTTTACTTTCCAAACATCTACATTTAAAAAAGCATGATTTGCCATCTAAAAATGCAAAATAGACCTTATTTTAGCAATGTATTTACAGATGTTTAAGATGGATATCAACATTAAAGGTTGAATTTTATTGCTTACCTACACATCCTTTTTAAGTCAAGAAGTTTTTAATTGTCCTGAGTAAAACTGAAAAAGCAGAATTACATTAATATCTTTGAAGAAAACTGAGTGAAAGAGGTAGAAATGGATAGAGAGTCTAAACTATTCATATTCTTAGCAATAAAAAAGAGTGATATTTGCATAATAATACAACATTATTATCTAAAATAAACTGTAGAGTGGACAGAACCTGTTCAAATTACAATGCACAAAAAGCAATAAAATATTATCTAGTTGTTTTTCAGAATTATGAATATAAAACCATTTTATTTTTTTCTGAATTTATGCAGTCTTTAAATTAAAAAAAAAAACAAACCTAAGGGAAATTTATGAGAGTACTCACATTAATTGAGAAACATATGTTTGATGTCAATATTAATATTTGTCAGTAGTTAGAGACACCAGGATTAATGCAACCCCCTTTTTTGTTGATTATACAGCTCTGTAGCTGGTGATGTAGCCAGTAACAGTGCAGGCTGCAAATCCAGAACTTGGTGAACAATAACTATTTTTGTCCACAAATTCCATTCAGTGTCAATTGGTGTACTGATGTATTATATTTAAAATAAAAATAATAAACACTTTTTTAAAGGCAATTTAACTATTAGGTTAATAACAAACTTGCATTTGGAAAAAATACATGTATGTATTTGGCATTTGTATAGGGACCAGTTCATTCATTCAGAGTTTTGAAGCAGTAATTCTATGAAGAGTTTTCATGGTAGTGATTAAGTTTTATGACTGATTGTGATATAGGTACACAATCAATAGGCACAATATATATTTGATTTTGCATTTTTTTATACATCATTTTTGGCTGTAAAATCTGAAGCCAGTTTCATAAAGAAACTATAGCTCTGTAACTGGAACAATGTGTGCATAGTACCAGTGGCAGGAGGAACAAATGCCTTTTGGACTAAATCAGAGTAACTTACTCATCTAAGTCTGAAAAGCTGTGTGCAAGGAGTTACATATTCCCTCCTTGTATGGAACCATTTTTCTAAGTTTAACAATGTACCACAAAGAATAATTCTTAATCTCAAGAGAAGACTGAATAATAAGGGGGAAAAAAGAGAAAGCTAATAAAATCCCCCAGAGGCTTGACTTTGCTACATTTATTTTCTTAAAAACTGGGGTGAGATAATGGCTTATATGGTTACTGGCACACACATACAGCAAACTCCAACACGGCACAGAAGAAAGTAAAAGACAGGGGCTAGTCAGGGGTAATAAACTCCATGGATCATTTCAGATGTGAATTTCAACTGAAATATACAGATACACATATATAAGTATACACACACATGCACACACATGAACATTTTATTACTTGATCATTCTTGGTGGCTTTGTATCCTCAGCAGGTGTAAGGAGACTTTCTGGAGAGCAGCAATGGGCCTGTAGCCCCTCTCGTTTTCAGCACACACAGTGACAGCTGTTCAACCTTTTAAGTGAAAAGCATGTGCTGCTCTGCACTCTTCCTTCTTCATTACCAGAACAGATCTGTTCTGGATTAAGCCCAAGAATATCTACAGAAGAAACAGAATTAAACCCTCTCCCAACACCTATAGCTCTATAAAATATTTCCCTAGTAATATAACCATAAGCCATGTCATTCAGGAGCGATGACAAATGTGGCCCAAAACAATATTGAGATTGAGAGTGGTGACCCACTGCCACAGGCTTCCCAGAGAAACTGTGGATTCCCAGTTCCTGAAGTGCTCAAGACAAGGTTGAACAGGACTTTGAACAACCTGATCTTGTGGAAGGTGTCCTTGACCATGGCAGGGCGTTGGAATTAGATGATCATTAGTGTCCCATCCAACCCAAACCAAAATTTCAAAGCTTTAGTTTTTTGTCGCTATGATCTCTATTATTTTGTTATTTGGGAAGAGGGAGTTACTTTTAGAGTCAGTTACTTTTAGATAATTGTCCTTTTTTCACTGTCTTGTTTTGCTTTCTATCTCTGTCTTTCCTTATGATTCTTTAAAGCTACTGCATCTTGTTTATTTTATAAGAATTTACCTTAAAGGAAGAGACACTGATATTATCTCTAACATATTTGTTGCAAAGCAAGTTTCAGTTCTTGTAGTTCACTTTCAAGCTGCATGAACATTGACTATTGGCTGCTTAACCACAATTTTCCTGGGATAAGTGTTTTTTTTTTTCCCTGAAAAATTGTTTAATAAAATTTATAATGCTGTGAAATTCAACTGCAGTGAAATTTTCTGCCCTGAAATTTGCTGGTACTAGAGGAAAACACAATGTGCAATGCTGCTGTGCTCCAACATTTGCATTTGCTGGTTATAGCATTCATGCAGAATTTAAGTTGCCTTCAACAGAATAAGCCTAACTTATTTAGTATGACTAGAAGGGAGCTGTTAGAATAAGACAAGAGCAGTACAAGCATGTAAAATTCTATTTATCTATGACAGAGCCCAAGGGGCTCTGAGCTGCCTAATAGGAATCCATTCTCTGCCAGTCTTCACTATGAAGAGCTAGAGACCCCTGAAGAAATGTTTATCAATGGTAATTGGACTGCCATGGCTTAGTAGTGTATCATTAATTATATAATTGCATTTGATTAAAAATCCTTACAATAGCAGTTTTCAGCTGATCTGGTCTTTTTGATGAAACTAAAAAGAAAATAATAGAAGAAACTTACTGTGCATTAGTAATTGTTAAATTACATTAAGGATTAGTACTGCAATTTGCAGTTACCAGTCTCTTATTCTGTTACAATGCTAGAAAATTTTACAGTTGCAAACAGTCTTAAGTTTTGCATTTTGTCTTCAGCACTTTTCTCTAATGTTAAACCCTAAATTGTACAAGGAATGCCTTGATGGTTTTAATAGAGAGTTACTTCCAGTTAACTTCCAAATTTTATCCAAATAATTGCAAGTATTTATTGGAGAAAGAAAAAAAGTAATTTTAAAAGAAGAGTGGACTTAACCTACTTGTGACTGATTTGAATTTTTTCCCAATAATTTTTGGTGAGAGCTTGAGAGTGAAGGCAGCTTCTGAGTATCTGTGTTCAAGAAGCGTTTGGACAAAACTCTGTGGTTCTTGTGGTGTCCTGTGCAGAGCCAGGAGTTTGACTCGATGACCCTGATGGTTCTCTTTGAGCTCAGTTTATTCTATGTTTCTGTGATATCCACAGAATTTCAGTGCACTCTACCTGCATATAAAATGCTCTGAGTAAGGTTCTGTCTGTGACAAATCTCAAAGTCCTTGGGCAGGCAAATGAGCTGTAGCAGTCTGAAGTCAATTTTTAGCTGCCATGAAACCGGGGCAACAAGGCCCTTAAAGGCTGCAGGTCTAATTGAGGAGTCATGAATGCTGGCATGTGATAACACTGTTTAAACATGTCTCTGATCTCTGACCCTGCTCCTCAGTGACAGCACAGTTCAAGGGCCAGGAATGTTTCAGCATGGACAAAGCACACCCGGGCACAGAATCACTTCTGGCTCATTTCTAAACACACAGGTTTGAAAGCTGTGCCGTGGATTGGGGCAGGTCTTGGGTCCTCTCTCATTATTGCAAGTATTTCTTCAGCAGGAAATTTTCAGGATGTAGGATGAGCAAGACAGGAAAAGATTCTTTCAGTGTTTGAGTGTTGCTTTGGCAAGATGCAAGGGCCAAAGCAAAGCCAACAACCTTACTAAGTTAATTGGTAAAACTCTTCTGGTTATTTGGGTCTCTGCTCCCGATAGGCAGGAGGGCCATACCAGGCCAGGCCTGAAAGAACTCTTCCCTGATGGAAGAAGGCTTTGACTGCTTTGTTACTACTAAAGATAGAGGTAAAGCACCTTCTCTAGATCTGAAGGCACATGGCAGAACTCACATGTGCAAAGTTAACCCAAATTGCACAGTGATCAGAGGTGACTATTCTCAGACTGCTGCAAGGGAGCAGCTCTCCAGCCCCAGGGGCTTTAGCAGAAGTACTAGCTTGGCCCTTGCCCGTGGTTTGGGACAGCAGATGAGCCACACTAGGGTCCATTCTGATTCTATGGTTATGTAGATTGTTGTGTCATCAAGTCCCTGGTCACATCTAGTTAATAGTATAGATATGTCCTTGAAAAACTTGGCTTCTGTTCACCTAAGTGTAGAGATGGGAGTCGAGCCATGAGTCAATTACTACTAACAATGCTGTTATTAGGAAAATGTGTTTGAGATCACCCCTGCACACTGAAAGGTTCATGGAAGCACTCTGCCTTGAGAAAATATAATGTCTTTTCATGATTATAAGCTAATTTCATATTTTCTTAAAATAAAGTTTATTAGCAGTAATGTATTAGAGATATAATGATAAAAAAATATTAATTTGGCTCACACACATCAGTAAAAGCAATCAGCTTTCAGAGTGTTTCACCCCAAGGCTGTATTTTGAAGCATGTACAAGCAAAGATAAATAAATCAGGGAGAGTTGATTCTTTATGACATTACTGTTTTTCTCACAGGGTGACTGATTTTAATAAAGTTAACATTTCAAGAAAACACTCCAAAATGTGCTCTTCATGTTTGCAGTCCACCAGCCTCCATTCATGTGGCCAGAACCAAACACAAAGAAGAAAATCAGTTCTGCTGTTGAATTCCATTTCATGACTTATGTAGGGAGATTTGTAAAACTGTCCCTTTCTGACTTGGAGATAAGTGGAATAACTATGAATTCAGCTTCAGGCAAGCTGCTTTTCAAGCAACCTGTCAGGAGACAGAAAGACAGTTCATAATAATTCATTCTTGTGCTGTGTCTCAAGCGATTAGTGAAGGTATAGGGCAGATCTGAAAAATACATAACATTAACATACCCTAAAAAAAATCCACAAAACACAAATGCCTTCAAAACCCTCCAAAAACCCAAACCCAAATCATAAATCACATTTCTCTTTTGTAGAGGAACAGAAACATTGGGGTAAGCACAGGAACCAGAATTAAGGGATTAATTGTAGGGGAAAAAAGGATCCTTGTCTATAAAGTGCTTTTATGAGAATACACAATCCAAAGCACAGCAGAGAGCTGGATTTAATTCACTGTATTTTTACAAAATGCCTGCTCAAGAAAACAATCTCTGGGGCATCAAGTGTAAATGAACTGTGAACACAGAGATCGCCAGTTGGAAAATAATGTCAATACGAACAACCAGAAATATGCAGAATCAGCTTGCAGCAGTGTGCTACAACTGAACAATTCAGTCACCAAATCATTTTTCCCCTGAGAGCAACAAGCTTTTAATCAGTATCCAAACTGAATTTAGATCTTCCAATGGAGCAAAGACTTCCACTTAACTGAAGCAGAAGGACCAGTGTCATGGACAAATCACAGATGTAATTATAACATCTAACATCACAGCCTTTTTCTGCTTCAGAGAAATGCAATGGGATATTCTTTCTATTTTTTGGAAGAAATGCTAACGATTTATAGGAGCAAAGTGTGTAAGAAAAAGTGAGAGGATAAAGTTAACTTTTTCTAGATTTATTAAAATATTATGGATTTTGAGCTATTATTATGAGTGTCTGTGAAATGCTAATAACTAACAATACACAAAACCACCAAATTACCTCAATGAATGCAGTTCACAAAGATATTTTCTCTCTAATTCCTGTGAGATGAATCATCTACAAAGCTACAGTACTTGGAGCAATTTTTGATATGGATCTTATTTAACAGTAGGGGAAAAACAAATACAAAGAGTTTTGAGGCATAATTTGCTACCTCTGCTTGCTCTTAGTAGAAGACCAAACAACAGGGTAGGAAAAAATGAACCCTTCTGTCTGGTGAATCATTATCTCTCCTTGTCACAGATACTAATATTAGCTTACCTTTTTAAATTTAACTGGTATTTAAAGCTTTTTCTGTTAGGAACACATTAAGAACTCTGTGTTTGCAATTTAGTGCTGGCTACAGCTGAATGATCTGAGCATGGTGCAAGGAGCAGGAGAAAGGTGCTGCTGGCCAGAGGAAAAGCCCTTTGGTAAAATATTAATGATAGACCATAGAGCATCCTGGCTGAGTCTCAAAGTAACTGTGCTCCTGGCTACTGTGATCCTTTTTTCTCTAGAATGTAAGTAGCAAATAACATGTGGAGGCAAACCCCTGACAAGCAAGAAAACAAAAATTAAAGATTCTAGCTACAGTCCAGAGAAGCTGAAGGGAACAGAAGGATGTGTGATGCACATAAAACTGACCAGTAACAGAGGCAGTGCCTCTTTTGCTGTGTCTCTGATATGAAGGAGGAACTGATGAGGAACTGGGAAAGGGGAGAGGGAGGGATTTGCCATGGAGTCAATGTTTCCAGGAGGGCAACATGGATCTGATCTGTCCCGAGTTTTTCTCACCTTTAACACTGGACTGTAGCAGATGCAAGTAATTGATCTCTTTATGCTTCATTGAACCCATCTCCTCATGGAACTTTCTGTCCAACTACAAACACTAGGAAGGAGAACATTTATGGAAAATGTCTGTCAGTCTTGTCTGCCAAGATAAAAAAAGAGACACATTTGCTCTGCATTTTGAGCCCAATGCCCCCAACTCAGCAATCAGGTGCAGAAGATGGGGCCTAAAGGCTCCGGACAGAGCTGTAAATGATAAATGTCCTAGATAGGAAAAAGAAGAAGAAAATGTTACAGTAATGTTTAGAGTATGGAAAAGTTGGAAGAAAATGGCTTAGTAGAGTGCCAACATCCAACAGAGAAAATAAATACAACCAGTGGGTTAGAACAATTATAAGAACTCAGATGTCAGTCTTCTTTAGGTCATCAAATTTCTTCTTTGGGTGGTATGTGTGGCTGCTTTCTAAATAAGGAAGTTGTCTCAAATTGCATTGAATTTCAGAACGTATAAAGCATAAAATTAAAAATAGCAAAGAGATATTTAAGTGGGAAATTATACTTTTGCAAATACAAAAAGACCCATAAGTAATAATTTACTTCCAATTCATATTAATTTTACTTCTAACATGCAAGAGCAACACCAGATTCAATATTTTACTGGAAAAATACTTTTGTTCCCATATCTGCTCATTTTATCTTAAAGAATTTGGGAAACTAGAGGAAAAACAGCAAAAAATGGCAACAGCAGCCATGAAGTAAACTGTGGCTGCCCTGTAGTGCAGACTGCAGTAAGGAACAGGTGTTGGCTGACCAATCAACGGGAGGGGAGCAATAAAGAATATGGAATCCACAGTGGTTTCCTGAGAAAAAAAAAGACTAAAAATTATCTTATGAAGTTAAAAAATAAGTTCTGTTCTGGACTTCCCTAGTGTTTCACTAAAGCTAAGTGTGGAGATTGGAGGTTACCTCAATATCAGAAAGAGGAATGGTGTCACAATAACCTGCACATGAGCTTTCCTGCTGAAATCCTTTCATGATGAGAGCAAATGTACTGGAGAAGATTATAATAATTTTACAAGAGCTAAATACTTGCAGTTATTTGTTTTACACAAATTAGATACAATTGGGGAAGATCAGTTTCCTAATATACTTTTTTTGAGATCTTTGTTAGAATTCCCTGTCAAGAGATGAAAATATACATATCTCCCCAAAGGGTCATAACATTAGACAAATCTAACAATATGAAGACCTAAGAAACTTTGAATGATAGATTCCTAAGAAAGAGCCTGTTTTAGGCCATTTTTGATGCTTGAAGTGGTATTTCATTTTGTTATTGACAGATTTATGCTGGATCGTTTTCTGTCTCCATGCTTAATATGTTCTTGATTTCTTATGATGCCAAATATTTTTGTACTTCTTCTTTCAAGCAGTGGCTTGTAAAAATATTCAAGAAATCTATCGCTTGCTACTGGAAGCTGTGATATTTTATTATAGTAGTTATTTTTGTACAAAATACATGAAAATTTATTTTTTATAGTTATTATCAATATAATTTAAGGAAATGCAAGGTAAGTATAAGAAAAATCTCAAACTAATGAGCAAACAAAATATATTTGAAAGTCACTTTATCAGGAGCAAATGAAGAAATGGAAAATAAAAAAAGAGGTATTCACTTACACATTTTTTCTGTCTGGAAAAAAGGAGGGACAGACATCCTGAAAGTCTCCTAGTAATGATAATAAAGTTGACAAAGATCTTTACATTTCTACAAATCATGATGATGAGTTACACTTTAGTTTTTGTTGCAATGCCAGTCAGAACATAGGAGAATCTAGAACTATGATTATTGAGGAATTTGGAGAACTAGGAAAACTGACTAAACAATATGTTCTGGAGTTCTTCAGTGACTCTTTTTGCCCTTTTTTTATTCAGAACCTAAGGAAAGACTACAGGGAGAAAAGCTGGAGGGTCTTGGCCTCACTCAGGAAATTGCAGCAGCACAGAATCATTGGGGTGACAGCAAATCCAGGAGGTGCTCAGAACTCAGTCACCAAAAGTTCAGATGGGGCTGCTTAGGGATTGATGAAAATCTCCATAGATGTAGATCACCAAGCCCAAAGATCATTATATTCAAGGATAATATTAAGAGTGAATTTCATACTCTGCTTGCTGACAGAAAGCAGAGCTAGAGGGATATTTTGGATTGCTCATAGTAACATTCTTATATCATTAAATTCAATTTTAAAATAATTGAGAACTTGGTGAAAATGTTGCAGCAGAATGCAACATTGATCATAGTGGTAATTTATCAAAAACATTATAGAAACAAGCATATAGGAGAGTAGGACAGGAACATAGTCAACTCTTGAACTTTTCAGCCTCTTAAAACACTCAAAGGAAGCCTATTCTAAGTGAAAACCAGGACAGTTTACTTAGTTAAAGTAAAAGCAGAAAATTACAAAATACTCTTATTATTAGATCTAATCTCAAGAGAGTTTCAATTAGCAAAGAATAAAAAAATGTTCTAGAAGGGTTATCATCTGTGAGAGGAAGAGAGAGTTTTCTCAAGGAAGTAAAGATATCTACACATGATATTCACATGTCTAAAAAGGTTTTTTCTCTTTCAATACTCACCAAAAATGCACTTTTATCTTTCAGAAATGGTGATAGAAAGTGTTTGTGTAATTTCTGATTTTTTATAGCAATTATATACATTCAGTAGCTGAACTTTTCATGTTTTTACAACAGATTTTATGACATGAAGTAAAGAGGAAGAAAATAATTTTGGTAGGTTTTTCTTATGCATTTGCTGGGGGATCCAGAGATCTTATGGAATAGCTATTTTTTTATATCACTCTGCTTAGCAGATACTCTTCTTAATGTCCTCCAAGGTAGCAAAAAATCTGTCTATGCCTAAAAGTCTTTCAGAGACTAACATCCAGTTCATGAATTTCACAGTATTCAGTGTTACTCCTCACTACTGTTTTAAAGCTCCAGCGAATTGTGCAGATGAGCTCAGGAACTGTCTTCTTCCCAGAACTGTAAATGGACATTAAAAGTGTTTCTTTTAAAGACATCAGAAGGGGTGGTATATATGATGTGATCTGATTTTCAGCAGATATAACTGTTGAATTCTTTTCATTATATGCTGCCTATAAAAAGAGGAAGAGATTTTTTTTAGTAGCATTCCTTTTTCTAAAGCTGACCCACACCAACACAGCAGTAAATTCATATGTTAGGTTATTTTCCACACACACATGAGAAAATGACTTCCTTATCTCATAGGGTGTAATAGACTGCAGTCTTTCTTACATTGTTAAATATATTGTTAACAGAAAACCAGATTGAGTTTTGTACAAAAGAATAACTTTGGAGTAAATGAAATGCAAGCTATCATGACATTTTGGGAATCCTGCAGTAATGAACTAACGCTTCAAGTGGTGTATTACTAATTGTCATTAATATTATTTTTCTGAATAATTGATTTTACCAGTAATAAAAACCAGATAATAAAATTTATTTTCATGTGCAGATCATTAAATAAAAGGGAATATTTAAATTGTTTTCTAAAATACATGTTTACATGCACTAAATCATTGTCTTATTTGATTTTTCCTTTAAAAGGTAAACCACTATAAAACAAACCCCAAAAACCAACAGCTTAATTTAATGTACAAAATCATTACTCTCCTCTGCAAGGGAAAGAGAGCAGCAGCTAAATTTAATTCTGATGTATCCAGTTCTTACCCTTTTGACCGTAAGTTCCAAATCCAGTTCTCTGAACGAATTGGAAGGGGAAGGAAGGAGTAGGTAGAAGAGGGTGGGAGAGGGAGATGAATGGAAAAGTGAATATAACATGCTGTTTTTTCACTTAAAAGAAATTTAAGACTGAAAAATGGAAAAAAAAATCCAGGATTATCTGATGGCTATAATTAAGTCCTCAAAAACAAAAAGCTTTTCTTAATGCTACTAGACACAAGCCCTGCTGCTTTTATTGTGGTTTGGTTGCAGGGGAAGCTTCTCTGGCATGAGAGTTCAGTGAAGAAAGTTTTGTCAGATCTGATGGGTCGGGCCAAACTGGATTGAGACATCTCAGGGAGACACAGAGTTGTCCTGTGACTCTGTGTCCTTCCTTGTGGAGCACTGGGGAGCACAAGGAGTAGCTGGGACAGGGCGTGCCTTGCCCAACCCTGCTGCCCGTGGAATGTTGGAAAGAAGCAAAATCTTCTGGGAGGAGCTCTGCTCCTTCCCATAACAGTGATAAACAGTGTACACTGATCCAAAAAATCTGATCTCCTTTTAGCTCAAAAAAACCTAACCAAAAAATCCCCAACCCCACTCAGATATTTTCCTAGTGGGTGTGGTCTGTATCTGCACAACATGTATATGGAATTGTAAATGAAAAAGTATACTACTTTTTGAAATGGAAAATTATAAAAAAAAGTTTAAATAAAAAACAATTACTCTTAGATGTATTCATTGTCCTGTGTATGTAAGGTGCTGATATCAGATAATAAATTGTAAACAACCAAAGTTTATATCTAAAAGAAGGTGTATATGAAATAACCCCAAGTTTATATCTAAAAGAAGGTGTATATGAAATAACCCCAAGGTAATCCTATTCTAAAAAGAAGAGTAAATTATTTTCCAGACTTTAAATGCTTTACATTCCACCTCTTGATTTTGCAATCACACCAGTTTTGTTAGTAAAACTTTAAATTTCATTAAATTTCTTGGTGTTTATAAGAGAGCTGGAGGCCTGGAAGGTGAAATAGCTGTGACAGATTTATAGAAAAAAAATGCAAGTTATTTTTGTGAATGACATGTGTCCTTTTTATATGCAGTGGAAGATGATTCACAGTCCTGTTCTGCGGACATCTAAGGGTAAATCTAGAGTGTAACCAAACATATAATTAAACCTTTGGAGATTACTGTTAAATTAAATCAAAATGTGCTATAAAGCAATAAAATAAGCATGGTTCATTTTCAGTTCTTAACAAAAGTATACCAAAGATTGCATTAAGCAAGTTCTTTGCTTCATTAAATCTTTGTGTCTAACAAAAAGAATGTCGTCATTGTTCATGCATA